GTATAGTGAATCTTCACTATACGCTTCATGACGGTTACGGATGCGCCTGTCGCAAGACGTACCGTCATCCTCGTAGGAGGTGTGTCACATTCACTGAATTTAAAGTGACCATCTTCTAGCGATTGGCGTCGCACAAAATTGTTGGACGCCCCACAATCGACTAGAGCTCGAAGGGACAACTTATTCGTCACTTCGAGTTTCAAGTAATGAGTGAGATCTCATTACCTAGAGCAGCAACGCACAATGTCTGTGTGTTGGGAGCAACCTTCATCAAGAGGCCTACAAATTCTCTTGACGTTGCTGGATCAGTAGGGTGCTCCGCACCTACTGATCCTGTCCGTTTTTGACGGTCCATCCCGTTGTTGCGTCTTTGCACCAACTGCGGACCCTCGTCCCTGCCCCTTTCTCATGGGTGGACGGTCACTACGCCCAGTGTCGCGAGACACTGGACGAGGAGGCACTACACTCGTAAGCGTAGTGTCCTGTCTTTTGACATCTGTTGCATCTCTGCAACTTCTTGTAGCCTGTAGAGCGAGCCTTCTCGCTCTCTACATAACAGAGTTCCATCGGCTCTGGACCTCCGTTGTCATATCGTCTCGGTTGACGATATGATGTCGAGCTGGCGCGAGCCTGTCTCAGACTGAAGTCTTCCTGCTCCGCAATTGAAATGGCTTGTTCTAGTGAATCTAGTTCAAGCCGGAACAGGTGAGTCTTGACGGGACCATCCGCAAGACCCTGCATGAACACCGAAACCAACGTGTGTTCATCCACCGGATTGGAACTTATACAACTCGTGAGATGTCGTATATGTTGAGCGTAAGCGTGCACATCACGCTTACCCTGCTTGAGCTTCAAGAGTTCGGTTCGAGCTCTGAACTCAGCTCTAGGCAGTTCAAACGTTTGTCTGAGCCGCGACTTGAAGACTTCCAACGACCCAAACGCGTATGGGTCGTGCAGCTTGAGCCCCAGTGCCCAAGTCTTGGCACGTCCTGCCAGATTTGACTGGGCAAATGCAACTTGCATATCCCCGTCGTCGATGCGACGCGCCCTTATGGCGTCATCAATTCGACGAACCATCTCAAGAGGGAGTCTTCTTCGACCCCCTATACTTTGAGATGTCAATCTTCAAAGTCTCGGGCCGACGCGAGTGCATCGACCCGCCAGCAGCAGCCTGCTGCTGTCTCAACAGTTCAAACTGTTGAGCACCTTGTTCTCTCAACAACTCTGCTTGTTGAGAACCTTGTTGGTGAAGCAAGGCTACTTTCTCGCGTTCTGCGTCAAGTTCATTTTGAATGAACTTGGCGATAATAGCATGTTGGGCATCTCTATTGAGAGCCTCTAGCATGACGCTAACAGCATGGATGCCCATGGTCGAACCCATTCGTTCAACCGCATCCCATTCGACATCGCTCAAATGGGAGTAGCCGTCACGCGTAGCGTGAAAGCTTTGGTCATCTTCATCATCCAACATATTCATGTTGGATGTGAACGCGGTCCTTGGACGGACTACGAAGTGCTACCAGGTGTAACGGGGCACCCTGAAGCTTGTACTGGTGACAGTACAAGCTACTTATTCTGATAACAGAATAAGGCGGTGCCTCGTAACTTCACGTACACTCGTACGTGCAGAGGAAGACGGTAAGAAGAAGCGAGTACTCGGTTAGAGTAAAAAGTAGAACTGTATTTATAATAGTTAATGTCTGCAATAAATCACTATTTATCTTCATCTAACTATGTCTAAATACAAATGTGTAAATCAGTTATCTGCTCACCACTCATTGCGTGCGTCTGTCGTGGCGCGTCTTCGTTGGTTGATATAATGGCCTATATCAACCAATTAGGAACTACTTGGAAGTGCTACAGAATATTGTCCTTATGACAATATTCTGAGAATATAACTCTTATAGTTATATTCTATTAACAATTTCTTATAAATTGTTATGTAACGATTCACCCCGTTACATGTGTAGCTCCGCTACATAATAAATATAGATATTTCAACAATTTCTTCGTTAAGACGATGTTAATACGAATGTGATTGCGTGACCTAAGGGTAAAAGAAAGGCAACAAGCGTCTAAGGCCTGCGGATTCAGCGCATGCGTTCCCCCTAAACTTGGAGTACTAAGGCATCACTTGACACTACTGTAGGTGCAATCAAAGTTTTGCAAATCTGACGACTGAGGCAAAAGAAACGGGTATCATCGAAAGGTCTATGGGTGTGCCTTTAAGGACTGCATTGCATATTGGACCGCTTCTAATGCAAAATAAAACGCAGGGTGTTCGGGTTGGCTTCATCCTTAAAGTAGCGTACTTATATGTCGGTTAAGCTACACTTCAGGTCATTATGATACAGTCACCCACATTGATGCTCATAAATCCGTAGATAATGCGAGTTAGAGGCTGACTTTTAAGTATGGTATGCGCAAAGCTCTTATACATCCCTCTGAAGCTTTTGAGATTCCAAAAATATGAAACGATCTCATAGCTCACATTCAAAAACCGCTTTATGTGACCGGCAAAAGTATACGGCCAAAATCTCATACAAACTTCAAGTAAAATTGGTAGCGATTTTCTGCATCCCTGTTATGCGACGAGGATTCAAAGTGTTACTCAGACTAGTAGCGTGTCTTGTTTCCCTGTATTTAAAAGACTTCGATGCAATAGTGCGGCATGGAGTCGATCAAGGTCACCGATGTTTTTTCTTGCGGTATGTTCTTCTACGCTTTAATGACTGCCGAGGTTGTAGCTTATACAGAACCTTACTGTTTACTATTATGGGTTATACCTCTCTGGACATTATAGCCTACACGTTTTCGACCGAATTCTTATCCCGAGCAGGCCAGTCCATCACATGCACGCCCTGCTCAGCGATGAAAGTCCGTCGATATCGAAGAAGTATGATGGCCGCGTTGTCCTGCTAAAATGGAAACTCTGTACCGTATTCGAGATGATCAAAAAGCAGCAAACACTCGGACATCGTGTAGTATAATCCTCTGATTTTTTGTGTCCCATTAATATGTCCAGCTCAGTCTTTCCGACTCCGTTAAACCCACCTCAAATCATAATAGACCCTCCGCCCATCTGAAGACGATTTGTATGCCTAGTAGAGATACGCATGTCTCTTCAGTAGTGATGTAGGCCTTCTGGTCTATCAAGGTTCCATTTCTTTTCGTCAGAAAAAATGATTGACATTCGTGCACTGGGAAGTATCAGCATCTCCTCCGACAACGAAAGACGACGCACTCTATGAATATAAGAAATAAAGCGTATTCTCTATTTTTGTGTACGACAGCCAACCTACACATTGGAGGATGCGGCACGCAGCGCGAACCGAGCATTTTAGCTCGAGCTGATGATGCACCTGTGTTGCTGAGAAATTTCCGCTCTCTGCCGTGCGAACCAGCACACAAAGAGCACGATTGGGCAGATTTTGCGGTCTGTCAGTGCTAATGCGGCCGACATGACCGTTCACAACACGCATTACTGTGTCACTTGACCGGTTGACAGTATGCGTGATGGTGCTCCTTGTTAGACCTGCTTTATGTAATCCTTGAATCCTCCCACGCTCTGGGTCGGTTAGCACCGTCCCCTTCCCTATCGCTTCAGGAATGCAGAAAACCATTATCAGTTTTTACTTGAAATTTGAATGCTTTTTTGGCCGTTTCCTTTTTGCCGGGTACAAAAAGCGGTTTTGTAGGGAGCTATGAGATCGATTCATATCATCAATTTTTTTAACACTGCAGAGGGGTATATAAAAGTTCTGCGCATATCACTCTCAAACAACAGCATCAAACTCGCAGTAGTGATGGAGTTATTGAAAAGGGGTTACACATCGTAGGGTACTCGGCACCCTGTGTCGTAGACACACGGGATGGTATCCCACTAAAAGAGATGTAGAATATCTTATCGCCTTATACGGGCTGACGGGTGTTAGCTACAAGATAGGAAAGATCTTGTAGATTTTAATTTAGGACATGAATGCCTGAATCAGGTACTTTTAGATTACGCTTTATTCTAAATAGTTAAACGTAAATTAACTTCAGTTCCCCTTTGATCCTGTCTAAGACACGTGTCTTGCGAGGCGTTGCTGATCGTAGATCGCTAAGAGTTAGCTATATCTCCCTGATGTAGCTACTCTTGAGCACTCAGTGCTGCAGATTCATTGAATCGTTCGGTCCCTTGGAACAGGGGCCCTAAGCTTCACGCTTGTTGACTCATTGCGTCTAGTTCTTTAGAACTTACATCGCTCTTTGGGCATTGAGTCTTCCTCTGACACAAGGAGCTTTGTAGCTCCGCTACATTTATAAGCACCAAGATGGGTGGCCGTATCATAATGACTTGGAGTGGATGAATATATTTCTACTGTGTTGTGTTGACTGTGCGACGCCGTAAAATTCGTAAAAGCCTGGCTAAACGATGCGGGTGGATCCTCCATATAAAATGTACTACCACTCGTTTCTTCATGAAATGCGCTGCAAGTATTCCTGTAGGCCGTTGATAAATATATGCTGCGTTACTAGTCCTCATTTGTGTAAAGATGTGACGTGAGCACCTGTCGGCCAACCGCCTTATAGGTGTAAAGCAAGAACAGGTGCGAATGTCGACTTGCTAGTCGTGTTTACACGAACGTATTCTAAAATCAAGCATGATGGACGAAACAAAATGTTCGAAAGTCGCTGATGTCGGTCAGATCAAAGATTTTCTAAACTCGAGGCACCGACGCAATTTGTTTAATGCTTTCTATCTGACGCCAATCAAGCTTATAGCTTGGTGTAAGAGTGTCCCGTCAAATAGCGCAATCTTTGCGGCTGGAATGTACTTCGGCACACACCCGGAATCACCTATTTTTTGTATCCTAACTTGAGCTTCTACCCGCGTCAAGCTCGTGTTTCGAGAGAAGCATTTGATAATTCTTCAAATTTAAAACCAAGCTACCCAACGTCACGATACGAATACATTGGCAAAATGTGCGAGCTACTCATCCAGCGGGACCCAGCTTTCAACGAAGCCATACCACCACGACCGACACATTGTCAGAAGTGCCACGAAAAAGCGCTTCCTGCACCAAGTAATTGGCGATCTGCACCTTGCGCCGCCTGCGCGCAGCTTTGATCATTGAGCGGTCGCTCGTGTACTGCTGTGACCACTCGAAAATAGGCACACGAGTATCGCTGTGGCCGCCACTACTCCAAGCCTCGCGTCCACCGAGCTCGCCACTCATGACGTCTTGCACGAACTCCACCACCTCACTGCTAGTAAACACGTCCCAGAGCCCGTCCGACGCGATTACAATGAACTCGTCCTTACCGTGCTCGATGTCGTACTGCCGAATCTCGACCTCCCCAATGACATATGGCCGTGAATCACGGTCCCCAATAGCTCGCGCCACTGCCAAGTTCCCATTCACCCGGTATGCTCCGTACGGCTCGATTGGCTCACCTTGAGCGTCTACATAGCCAAACCACTGGACACGACCCCCCAGTGACTCGATCCTTGCGCGTTCCTGTGGGTCGTTCGGTTTATGGTCCCGCGTGAGATCGACAACCTCTCCCGATCGACACAAGACCGCACGACTGTCGCCGACATTGAGCGAGTACAGCACGTCTTCAAACATGAACACCCCCGCTGCTGTCGAGCCTTGAAACTTCCACTCATCCCTGGCAATTACTTGGTCATCTAGTTTGTGCACTGCATCACGCAGCATCACTGCGATCCTTTGTCGTCGACTCGCTTTCGCTGCCACTTGTGTTTCCGCTTGCACTTCTTGGTCCAATTGAGCAAGTTCCGGAGCAATCGTCGAAAACAGCTGGTCCCGCAGAAACTGCGACACGGCCGCACCTCCATGGCCGTCGTAAACAGCTGCAAACCGGTTGCAGGACGAGACAAACGACGTGTCTTCCATGTACGCGCGGTCGCCCCGCACAGCTGCAGTGCTCACGACCACATTGCCGTCTTTCACGCTCGACTTGCGCTTCTTCAGCGCCCGTTTCTGGCTCGCCGGTACTTCAGCTGCAGCAGCTGTTTCAACAGCGTGTTCTTCGTCTCGTTTCTGCCCCGACACCTTGTGCGTCTCGTCTTCCGTCCTTTCCTTTGCATCTGTCGCTGCCTCTTCCATCGATGCAAACGCAATGCCCATGGCTGCTAGTGCCAGCCCTACCCCCACTCGACCCTTTCTCTGGTCCAAGGAATCAACAGCTGAACCGTCTGAAAGCTGGTGCAATCGGTGCGCCTTTTTTTGTGACGGATCTGGACAAGGAGAAGAAGAGCATAAAAGTGACGGCAGGACTGGACGCGATGCACGGACTGGCAGTCGCGACTGCAAGGGCACGAGCGTTACGGATGTCCGACGCGACGGTGGCGGCTGTCGCGCGACGACCAGCGCGCGGCTTCGCACCCGAAAAGCAGTCTGCATGGCGCTAGCTGCTCCTGCTGAAGAGCACAGAGGAACTTAGTCTCGGCGCCGGATAAACGGGGACTCCTTTACCGGTCGAAAGTCGCGCGCTTCAACGACTTTTTCTTCTTCTTCTTCTTTTGGTGTTGATGAAAAAGTGCTTTTTTTAACACATGTAAAAATAGAAAACCTTGTTTAGAATCGAAATTTACAGTGTGTCCTGATATTTTGCAATGGCGAGACTCGGTGACGTTAGAGACTGGACAGCTACCATTTTGGACAGAATAAGCTTTTGCACGTCTATCGTGATGTCTCTGCAATCCCAGCTGTTTTTTTCTTCATTTGTACGTCAATCGTCATGTTGTTTTGCTATTTCATACCGACCCATGTTGTGGTGGATTGCAGCAAGCACATCTGTCATCCCTGTCATTCATCCGTGCACAATCCCTCTCTCTTTCTTGGCCCGCGTCGCAACCTATCGTTCCTTGGACTCCATGGGTTTCCAGCGACTCGGCAGTCGCTCTCGTGCAGGTCGACCATTACACCACACGAACGCAATGATCGCGAGCACGTAGATCAGCAAGAACAGTGCCACGATATGCTCCATGCGCATCGACCGGAAGCCGAGATTGCTGGACAGCGCATCATCGATCAGCAGTTGTCGAGCCTCAACGGAGAATTGGATCGCCAATTGTTCAACCGAAGCGTAGATTGTCGAGTCGATAGGTGTGACCTGGGTAGCTGGACGTCCGTCTGGCAACGAGTCTGTGCCAATGTAGTAGCAGCACTCTCGATGCGCGTACACGGCCTGGAAAATGCGGTAATCGCGCGGGTCACCTTCCAGCGAATACTCTTGTATGTGGCTCATTATACGCGGCTGATCGGGCTTGCCGTCCAACTTGATGGAGTTCCGGTGGAAAAACACTAGATTGCCCTGTACGTCATGCTGAATGATGGCAAGTCCACAGAATACTCCCTTCTCCTTCTTCAAATCCAATCCACCCACTGCAGGCGGATACTTGATAAAGTGAAAGGGCTGACTGCTGTTGATCCACGCCAATCGAAAAAGGTCTTTGTCCCCCCAAATGAGATGCAACTGTTCTAACAATCGAGGCTGATGCGTGGAGTAGAACATAAGCTTGTCCAAAGCTCTCTTACTGCGCAGCCGGTCGATCAGAACCTGTCCGCTTTCTTGCTCAAACATATCCACAAACTTCACACCTGTAATCTGCCATAGGAGACTTGTGTTTGATAACTCGAAGAGAGAGTTAGATGGTTGCCAGTAGTCAGGCCAGAATATGGCGCCCGTTCGCAAAAATTCCGGTTCCTCGAACAAATAGGTCGGGTCTTTGGCTGGCAAGTTGTCTGCGTCCAACAGCAATACGTTATCGAAGTTGCTATAATACACTGCATACGGCTTGACATGGAATCCCATCGCACGCCGGTCAAAGATCGGTCGCATCCGTACGTTGTATTCGGATAAGAGCTTGTAAACAATTGGATTATCGATCGACATTTCATCTGGCCGATACCATAATTCAACAGGTAGAACACAGCCTTGAAGACGCAACATCCGAATAGTTGCGTACGCCGACGGTAGCACGCGGTCGTAAATGATCATCAACACACCATTGGTCGGCTGCCGTCTGCTTGTCGCTGCTAACGGCAGCGCTAGCGTTGGTGCCACAGGTTTATGCTCGTACTTAACGGAGTGGTATCCGAATTCGGAGAAGTCGCGCGACATGTCGCACGTGTACGAAGATCCCGTTGGCAGCGAGTCGCACGAGCTGACCATGAGCTTGTACAAGTCGCCGGACGTGCGATTCCGCACAATACAGTAGCCAGCCATTCGGGGTCCAACCTCTTCCGAGCACCCCAATACGTCCTTCTCCGGCTCCAGTGGCTCGTCCTCTTTTTCATCTTCCGGCTTCTCTTCTCGGCACGACTGGATGCGCTTCCAGCCTACACACTCAAAGCTGGCGTTGGTCCACGGCGCAACCACAAGCGTCGGTGCCATGTGTACCCCATCGTCGATCTTCTGTGTATTCATGTTATTGATATGCACGTCACGCGACTTTCCTACGATTGGATCCCTTTGAGTGGAACGAAGACCCATATAGAAGCTGACGAGCACGAGCAAGAACCACTTCTTGTGCTTGATGTGCTGCAGCAGCGTGCAAAGCGAGTAGACCATCACCACGAGACGTTGCAGCAGCATCTTCAGCAGATGGTCTACGTACAAGGACAGCAAAGGAAGCAGCAGCGGCAGTGAAGCAGCGCCACCCGCGGGTCAAATGACGACGAAGGATGGGTATTGTCAGTCTTGCATGGGTGGGTGAGTGGGTACGTTACGCTTGACAATTGTACCCGCCTTTTGGTACGAACAAGATCGGCACAATCTGATGACGATCGTTCTTGATTAGCAGTGTAGCCATTTCATACAAGCGACCGGATACTTTACCACAGTTTGCAAGTTGAAGACTGTCACGGGGTTGGAATATGGAAATAACGTCAACAAGCCGTAAACTTGCACGTCCACTGTAGCAAAGTGTGTATGGTTGACAACATGTAAAACTGTGTCACTGTTTCTTACGAAAGGAAGGCTCGCCCGAAACAACAAACCTCTCGGAGATGGCTGACGCAGCCGCACCAAAAGCTTCCTCTTTTTTTGACACGCGTGCGTGTGCCCGAGCACTAACGCTAGAGACTGTACGACGCATAGCTCGTGACGTATCAGGTAGACCAAGACCGGCACTCAGCCCGATTACTGGTTGTCTTGCGTTCAGATCAGCCTGTGCCATCGAGCTTTGAAGTCGGTACTGGTGCATGAGGGAGCAGACAGACTGGCGGATAGCGGCGACCACGTGCGTGAGCCAGACGACTGGCACTGTCCACCGGGTGAAGAGATGCACCACGAACACTAGCAGCAGGTACTTGTTCGGGATCAAAATGTGCAGCACACAGCTCACGATAAGGTAGAGCAGTATGCGTGCCGTGTAAAACGTGTCTTCCCAGGAGAACATGAGCTCGAGGTTGTTGATAATGCTTGACCACCAAGCCATGTTGTTCTGCACTGACTGCAACGTCCGCTGAGTCTCTTGGTCAATGGTCACATTGGTCATCTTGTTCATCAGATGGTTGAAGCCCGATGGAAGATTGTATTGACGGAACGAACCGTTGCTCATATCATTGTCCAGATTCCCGCCCGCGCCACTGGGCTGGTCTTTACCATTGAACGAGTGGAAGTTCAACTCGAAATAATTGCGGAGCACGAATACAATGAGAGCAAGATGGATGACCACCGGTAGCCACTGCAACGAAAGGCACAGCCATACACACAGTGCGAAGCACATGAAAGAGTGCGTTGGATGTTCCCAGTTGAGCGTTGGCATTATTTGCCATGCAACCTCTAAATACGGCCAGAGGTTGTCGAGTAGCACCCAAAAATTGCTGTATAATTGTGCAGCTTGGAACTCCGGCCACTCATAGACGTAGTCCTGCTCGGACGAAAAGTAGCTACAGAGCTCGGCCATTTGCGAGAACTTGTAGTGCAGCAGGACGTGGATGCGCCCTGCACGCGCGTCGTTGTTCAGTCCTGCGCGGTGAAGCTTTTCCGGCAGCAACAGATCCAGCCACTTGTTGTGTCGCCGCTGGTCCATAATCTGTAAAAGCGGGATGGAAGTCTCACCTAGTTTTGTTGGCTGACTCAGCTGGCCATAGTTGTACACCTCAAGCACGAGTTCAGCTCCGGGTGCGCACACATTGAACACAAACGTTTCATGCCACCGCGGATTGAGCGTGCGCGATTTCTTCTTCGTGCACTTGATGCTCTTCAGATCGTTTCCCCACTCCTGTCCGTGCGACCATTTGCCCGTCAGCACTATGCGTACGAACGGGTCGCTCGTGATCGAGTCTGTCGACGGCAGTCCAATCGCCTCCACCACCTTTATATACAGCTGTCCAATGTGCACGCGTCCTTCAATCACCGGGTCCGCTTTGCTCTGAATCTGTCCATTCTGAGAACCAAGTAGCTTCAAATTACCATTGCCACGTCTCGCCATCTATTGCATCCCTTCGTACCTCTACTGACGAGTGGCCCGACCAATCCAGCGATGCAAAATGCTCATCCACGGCAGCATAGCATGTATTGCAGACTCTCATTGGCTGTATATATAGCAAGTCATCCACAGATCAGCAAACACGTGATCTCCTGACGTATCGAGCATATCAATGCGTCCGTACAAACGGGTCCGTGGATGAGATGCGACGCTTGTGTGGCGAGCAGTTGTGGCACACAACGTTTCCACAGCGTCGGCAGTGGTGCTGTAGGCACACACACAAAAGAGAACACATCCGTTACCACGCGTTACATTCTATAGCAGATACAATGGGACTTTTGACTTGGATCTTGTATCGTTTAAAAAAACCACTGCACCTTGCGCGTGATCATTGTAAAGGGCGTGTTGCAGTGCATACAGTTGCTGGTCTCTTCATCATAGACCCACTTCAGCTCCCGATCACTTCCGCTTCGGGTCGACGTCACGAGCGCTGTACTGCGGCCTCGGTTGCGCGCCGCAGCGGACGGGAGACTGCCGAAGAGCGTAGCCATCGCGGCGACAAAAGGAGGACGCGCGACATAAGCCGCTGTGATTCGCGGAAACTCGAGCACACATTTCATCCAATCCAAGTAATGTACCCATATCACCGGGCGCTAACGGAACCACGCGTCATCATCAGTATCGATCCAAACACGAACTTCCAGACCCGAGCGGATCTCCAGCATGTCGTCACTACGGCAGCGTACCGGCCCCGTAGCCAATGCGTCTCTATCCACATCAGCAAAGCCAGCGTCTTCTGCTTCGAAAGAGACCTTGACGGCGTCTAAAGACCGCGTGGATCGTACAGAAAGCGAGTCCGAAGCGAGCGACTGGTCGTCCATGCTCCTCCTCCTCTTGTTGTACACGTTGCAGGGCATTCCCATGGGTCTTTCCAGCAGCATTCCGTTCATCTTGCAGGAGAAAGTCGGCTACGGAGACCAAGCGACGTTCAGTCTCGTGTCGTGGCCTTTCAGTCTCAAGCTCCTCTGGGCGCCGTTCGTGGACTCGCTCTATAGCGAACGCTTTGGCCGTCGCAAGTCGTGGCTCATCCCCGTGCAGTTTCTCTGTGCGGCAATGATGGTCATCGGTAGCTGGTTCATGGACGACATGCTCGGTGAACGGGAGGGCCAGAAGCCGCACGTTGTCTACCTCACTGTCTTTTTCTTTGTGCTGTACTTCATCATGGCTACACAAGACATTGCCGTCGATGGCTGGGCCATCACCATGCTCTCGAAAAAAAATGTTGGCCACGCCTCCACGTGCAATACAGTGGGCCAAACGGTCGGCTACTTTGTGGCCTACGTGGGCTTTCTAGCACTGAATGACCCAGCGACTTGTAACAGCTACTTGCGCACTGCACCAGAAGATGAAGGCATGGTATCGCTGCCGGGCTTTATGCGCTTCTGGGGCTGGATCATGTTCTTCACGACTTTAGGTGTGTGGTTGTTCAAGCGCGAGAAGCCTGAGGATGAGGGGAGTGAGCGGTTGACTATCGCTCAGACTTACGCGCAGATGTACTCGGTACTGCGTCTGCCTAGTGTTGTGTCGCTGTCAGTGGTGCTACTTACAAGCAAGATTGGGTTTGCTGCTGCGGAAAATGTGGCATCGCTCAAGCTGGTGGAATATGGAATGAAGAAGGAGAAGTTGGCTCTGCTGACGCCAATCTTGATTCCGCTCGGGATTGTAATCCCTGTCATGGTCAGTCGGTGGATTAAACCGTCACAGCCGCTCAACCTTTTTCTCTGGGGTTATCCAGTGCGACTCGCTGTGGGACTTCTGTATGCTGGACTCGTGTACGTCACGCCTATGGCAATGGCTCAAGAAGAGAGCTCTCACTTCATTTTCTACGGCATGATATTGGTTATCGGTGCGCTGCATGAAGTGGCGGCCAACATGATGTACGTCCCGCAAATGGCCTTCTACGCCCGCATCAGCGACCCGTCAATTGGTGGCACATACATGACATTCCTCAACACTGTCACAAACTTGGGGTCCAAGTGGCCCAACTCACTCAGTCTTGCTGCTGTGGACCGTCTTACCACGCGCGAGTGTATGGCTGGCTCAAACGAAATACTGGACATTGGATCCCGCACGTGCTCGGATGCCGAGGAGCGGAAAGCGTGTATTGACGCTGGCGGAGAGTGCCTCATTGTGCGTGACGGCTTCTTCGTGGAATCCGTCATATGTTTGGTGATTGGCGTGGCCTGGCTGCTCTTCTTCTACCGTCGCATTCAGCTGCTGCAAAACCTCAAGATTCATAAGTGGCGCGTGAACGCGACGGCCGAGTAGTATCTTGATGCATGCATACAATGTGTGTATAAGCAATAGATCTATTCCGTTCGGAAAGCCACGCGTCTTTAGTGCTGTATGAAGTTTCCTGTCTTATTGTTACGATGAATGATTAGCACAGCTAGAGATTAGACCACGCGCGATACATTTCGAAACGTTCACGAGCGAACGAACCTCGTTTCTTCCAGCCCGAAGATGACTCGTTTTTCTGTTGTGTGCAGCATCTTGCTACGTCAGCGCAGCGGATAGGCGGCGCTGCACATACTCCACTTGTGAGGAGCGCTCAATGGAGGACCGAAAAAACACCTCCCGTGGTGCAAAGTTTAGACGCGGCTTCTTCTCGTTACCGCAGTCGTGATACGCAGACTCCAGATTTATCTCAAACATCTTGATCACCTTCGCCATGTCTTCATCATCGTCGTCTTCAAATTGTGATTCCTTAAACACTGCACTTGGATCTTGTCGTGCGAGCCGAACTTTTTCTTCTAACGTTTGCGAGTTGAAACTGTTTTCGTCCCGTAAACTTACCCGGCGTACCAGCGTGAGACCAGGTTGTTCAGTCTCATCGTCGCTGCTACATGACTCCTGAAAGTGTGTGTCTGACTCTTGCGCGCCAGACTCAATCGCAAACTCTGCTTTCGTGTCGGAATGGAGTGAAGCGGGGGGCGATTTTTTCTTTTTTCGTTTCTTGCGCTTCTTCTTGCTGAACGTGGTGCTGCCGCTATTCGAGTCGCCACGGTCTGAAGAATTCTCCCCGTGAAGATGACAATTCTTACTTGCCACTCCTACTGCTTGACGTTGCTGAACCGCAATCGGTGTCGTCTTCGGGTGACTATCGCTGCCATTTATAAAGCTTACCAACTCATCGACGCTCGGCTGGTCAAACTCCACCAGCTCATATTCTTCGGTAGAGAGGTCATGATCGAGCGAGTCGAACATATCAAAATCAAACCCTGCCATGTCACTACGCAGGTCACAGCTGCAGTCGACATCTGGCGGATCTTCCAGCCCAAACTTTTTCCGCAGCTCGTCAGCTTCAGACGTCGCCGACATGATCTGCGCGATCGACCGACATGTGAGATCCACCAGTGGCTGAATATCCAAGTTCGAGGCGATCTTTGCTAAGTCACACAACTCTTTTGACTCCAGTCGAACAAACTCGTCTTCCCATTCCATCATCGCCGTTTCAACACGATCCACTTGCTGACTATACAGACAACTAAACACACACAAAGAGAAGTGAGAGATACACAAAGACAGAGCCACAGACAAGCCATGAGCCTCGCTCACTCACTCAATCAAGCAAAAACACACACGATCCACCATGTAACGTACTTGCAGTACTCCAGTGCACGCTGCACGCTTTCCGTCGGCACATCGAAAACTGGGACAACGTGCGTTTTCACGCTGCTCTTTTGCTTTTTCTCCATCACATCTACAGCCAGTGAAATGCACAATTACAATCACGACAGCCCGTCACTCTCTTTCTCTCCGTCTACACCCACAATGAGTACGTTCTCCACCTCCTGACCTTGCATCAGCGCCCACAGCGTCGAGGACATCATCGCCTGCTCGTACGTCACGTCGACCATCGTGTCGTCCACGCACTTGAGCTGCAGCTTCGAGCGACGGTCCGTCAAAGATCCTGAGTCAGCAGACGGCGCTTTGTTGCTGTCATTGATCCTGGGAACGGCGGAGAAGATGCGCTTGTCGCTGCGTCTCTCGTCACTCATTCCCGCGACCTAGGGCGGCTTGTGCGGAAAGTGTCGTCTCTCGGCAATTAACACAAAGTTATGGCTACTTTCGACACGAATTGATAGAGCTCCGTATTGTGCAGATAAAGCCACGAAAAAAGAGGGGCCAACAGTCGTCGTGGCGTCCAGAGAGGCTGTTCCGCGTGGTCGTCGTCCACGGCCTGAAGCTTCGTGTGCTGGATATTGGATCAGAACAAAGTTTGCCCTTAGTGAAATCAAGTCAATTTAGTCGGTTCGGCAAACACAGCGACAGGTGTCCAAACTGTTCCATGTCGATTCGGACCAACCAGATGCGGCATCTGATTGGCTGGAAATGTGTGCGGGATAGGTGGTGAAATTAAAATGGATTCAGAGGCCACTGTGGTACACTCGAGCGGTCAAGCCACAGCTTTAGGGTTACGCCACGCTTGACTTGCTACCATCAGTAGCAGTAAGATTTCAGGCAGATGCATTGATCATGCTTGCTAGCGTTTTATCTCAGTCCTCCTTGGAGTCAATGTAGCGGTCCATACGTGGGTCTCAACCATAGATGGAATGAAGTCGCCGCTGGGTTAGACGACGTGGGTAAAGTCGTCTACGTTTATTACGCTCAAAATATGTGGTCGGTCAATTTAAGCAACAAAGCGCTAACGTCAGTAGACGAACACATGTGTTGTTAAAGCATCTGGATTGCGCGAATGTTACAGGAAGCATGCACTACGGGAGCAAGCGCTGGAGCTCGCCCTTTGATATAAGTAATCCAGTTCAGACAAGCGGATCAAGTCGCAAAACACATGCAGCAGCAGCAGTAACTGAAGAAGGACTATGACGCCGTTGATGTATGTGTTAACCTAGAAGTATACCCAGGTAGCACGATCACCCTGTGCTTATCAGCGTCCAGTGTTCGCTTCCATGATTGCATTTACCTCATCGATTATGAGCCAATCACGTGCGTGCGTCACAACAGCGACCTAGCCAAAGAATAACTTTGGGTGCACCTACGTACATACGAGAAGGAGACAGGCTTGGTCGCACTTAGTATGTGTAAGGTACACCTACCGCGTCATTCACAGACATGCAGACTTCACAGGTAAGTACGATTTAAAAGCTCGGCATTCAGCTTTGCGCACACTCACGAATAGGTTCACCCTTCGGGCTCGCATCCAAACCTCTAGACGTTGGATATGGTGTCAGGGCGCAGCAAAGGATACGTGTCCGAGATTCGTGTACAAATGAAAACGCAATAAAGACTCGAAACTTTGTCAAGTATTTACCAGTCTTTTGCATACACGACACACTTGCTTGCTACGTCTCCATGCCTCATCAGCATTGCAACTAGCTTCGCTACCACAGATAGGATTATACGCAACTCTTATCGAGGAACTCATCAGTGATGCATCTCCTCAAACATCAAAGAGAGAGACCAGCACCTCATTTCTTGGCTTTGCAACCACGACTTTTCTTGATGGGGGCAGGGGTCTCGGTGGCAGTAGAGGAGGGGTCGACCGTAGTAGCCGGTGCAGAGGGCGCAGGCGTGGCCACGGTCGTGGTGTCCGAGGTCTCTTCTTGAGACGTTGCAGCTGAAGCTGAAGTGTCATCCTGAGTCTGCACTTGCGCTAGGTCAGTCGTCGGTGAGTCGGTCGCGTTGCCGCTATCACATGTTTCTGTACCACCAGTACCAAAGTCCTGTGTCCAATAGTGCTTGTATTTGCTCTCACCGTTGTAGGCGTACGCCATGCCCAGCATGGTGTAGTCTGGACCCAAAATGTTCGCGCGGTGGCCTTTCGAGTTCATCCAGGATACCATGACCGAAGTGACGTCTTCCTGGCCGGCAGCGACGTTCTCAGCAATGGCGTCCCACTCGTATTCAGAGGCCGTGATACGCTGCGACATCGTGGAGCCATCCGAGCCGACGTGGGCCATAAAGTCTTGCGCAGCCATATCGTCTGAGTGACGTTTGGCAGCAGCTGATAGCTTATTGTTACTGCACAGCGGTGCAAGACCCTCCTTGGACCGTTCGACGTTCACAGCGTCCAACATCTCCTGGCAGTAGTCTTCATACTGCGCGTATGTCTGCGGTTTGCGTGAGGTCATGCGCAAGTTGTTTAAGGCTGTGACGGTATCCAAAGATACCGTGGAAACTACAAGCAGAGCCAGCGGTGTGATGATCATCATGTTTAGAGTCGAGGCCGATTCAATCAGAGAGGGTTGTTTGGAAGCGGATTACTTTGAGTCGTCAAGATCACAAGTGAGTGCTTGATCAAGGAGCATGGCAGTGCTAACATATCACCTACGAGCAGGGCAAGGCAGCAGGTGCAGAGAGGTGTGCCACTCAGCGAGTGGAAGTCTGCCGTCTGGTTGGTACGATCGACCAGTCGAGAGTTGCGATCTCGGCGTCGAGATACCCAACATCCGATGTCAAAGCTGACGTCAAAGCAGCAGGACGAACATTTCGTGGTAGTGGACTGGCGTGTTCAGTGCTGCCACTGAAGATTGAGTCCTGAACTCGTCTCGGGCGTGAGCACGATCGAGTTACAGGTGGTGGTGAACCCTGACCGACGTGATTTATTCTGACTCTCTCGTGTCAGCGACGCGAGCAGATGTGTATGATACGACCCACTGAGATCGATCATGGTGTCGTAGAATGTAGCTAGCTACAGCAGCTGTCGGCTACGGCGCCGACATCGATGCCGAACATTCTTTGCACGTAGCGGGTATCATACAAGCCTATCTATGAAAAGGGACATCTGGTATCGAGTCAGCAGCGCTCAAAGATCGCCTCCTAGCCTCATGAATGCTCATCAGTGCTGCGTAAGGTCACGTCCGACGAAAGACCGGCTTGCGTCGCGACAGGAAGGTCAGTGGCTTTGGCCCTGCCACAAAAGGTGTCGACCAGCTGCAGGTGCCACAGCGGATGTTTTTCTGAGGACGGACGCTACGCAGAGCGGTTGACAACTGTGGATGCAAACAGCCTAAAGAAAAAAAGTAACACGCCGAAAGCAGGTCAGTGTGGTTCATGCAGAGATCCAATGCAAGCAACCTCTGAAAGTGTTTGGCTCTTACTACTTACCAGCTTACAGACAGCTTGTTATACAAAAAGCCTTGGTCCCGTCGGCTTCGACGCTTTGCGTAAGAATGCTAATACCTTGCGACACGTCGTCGTACTGCTACGCGCACTCCTTGACAACAGTGGAACCCCTCGTATGTAAAATACAGCAGCAACGTGTTATCACCCCTTCAATAAAAATTGATCTCCAAGAAGTGGTAGTAGAAGTTAGGATTCAGGTCCTTCCATTAACAACGTCATGACAGCATCTGTCGTTTAGACGTGTCATCAGTAGAGACATCAGAAGCAGGTTAGAAAAGGCTGGCGAAAAACGCGATCCTTTTCGGCGTGCATCAAAGCTAGTCATGCCACGAATGATCGCCACAGCTGCAGCTCGAATCGCTTTCAAACTTTGCTGATATAACTGCGAGCCCGAAGGGTGAAGCTACTAGTGACTGGGTGCAAAGTGAATACCGAGCTTTCCAAAACCTGTGTTCTGTCTGAGTGTATCTAACTCGTCGAAGATCTACCAAGAATTGTACAAATGTATCTGGGTGACGAACAGATCATTTCACGAGCAATATCCAAGATCGAATGCGGAAAGCCAACTGGAAGCCACTCCTCTTCGAGCCGATAGTTGCGTGCAACATAAAATCAATCGAGAAAATACGTATTGGCTGTACAAGCGTGCTACTACAGTACCTGCACACAGAACATCATCAATTCTATCTTTTTTTGCGCATCGATACTCTGCTAAACTTTCCTTGTGAAATTAACGAAATGTAACCATAACTTTGAACGGAACAACTCTTTATTGCGGCCCAAGAGCTTCGAGCTGACACTCGACTTGACTCAGTTATTGCTCGTTAAAGTGGCATACTAAAAGCACGTTTATGCAAACAATGGATACATTTGTTTTACCTCTGATTGAACTTCTAGTTAAGTCAAAGCACCTCCCCTAGGTACTTTGAAATTTAACTAATCTATAAGAGATAAAAACCAGGCACTGTTCGCACACCCCATTATTGCAACCATTATAAGTAGCAGTATACCCCTCCTGCTACTATAGCAGCTCTCCGCCCGCAAGCCACGTGTGGCACGCACTCGCAAAACACTTTTCTGAGAACAAGACGTCCCGATTTACACGGAAAATCAATTTGTCGAGGATTTCTGCGTCAGCTGTAACGGGGTGAATCGTTACATAACAATTTATAAGAAATTGTTAATAGAATATAACTATAAGAGTGATATTCTCAGAATATTGTCATAAGGACAAATATTCTGTAGCACTTACGAGTAGTTCCTAATTGGTTGATATAGGCCATTATATCAACCAACGAAGACGCGCCACGACAGACGCACGCAATGAGTGGTGAGCAGATAGTTGATATGCACATTTGTATTCAGACATAGTTAGATGAAGATAAATAGTGATTTCTTGCAGACATTAACTATACTGAATACAGTTCTACTTTTTACTTTAACCAAGTACTCGATTCTTCCTACCGTCTTCTTCTGCACGTACGAGTGTACGTGAAGTTACGAGGCACCGCCTTACTCTGTCATCAGAATAAGTAGCTTGTACTGTCATCAGTACAAGCTTCAGGGCGCCCCGTTACACCTGGTAGCACTTCGTAGTCCGTTAAAGGACCGCGTTCACATCCAACATGAATATGTTGGATGGTGAAGATGACCAAAGCTTTCACGCTACGCGTGACGGCTACTCCCATTTGAGCGATGTCGAATGGGATGCGGTTGAACGGATGGGTTCGACCATGGGCATCCATGCTGTTAGCGTCATGCTAGAGGCTCTCAATAGAGATGCCCAACATGCTACTATCTCCAAGTTCATTCAAAATGAACTTGACGCAGAACGCGAGAAAGTAGCCTTGCTTTACCAACAAGGTTCTCAACAAGCAGAGTTGTTGAGAGAACAGGGTGCTCAACAGTTTAAACTGTTGAGACAGCACCAGGCTGCTGCTGGTGGGTCGATGCACTCGCGTCGACCCGAGACCTTGAAGATTGACATCTCCAAGTATAGGGGAGTCGAAGAGGACTCCCTCTGGAGATGGTTCGTCGAATTGGATGACGCCATAAGGGCGCGTCGCATCGACGACGGGGATATGCAAGTTGCATTTGCCAAGTCAAATCTGGCAGGACGTGCCAAGACTTGGGCTTTGGGACTCAAGTTGCACGACCCATATGCGTTTGGGTCGTTGGAAGTCTTCAAGTTGCGGCTCAGACAAACGTTTGAACCGCCTAGAGCTGAGTTCAGAGCTCGAACCGAACTCTTGAAGCTCAAGCAGGGTAAGCGTGATGTGCACGCTTACGCCCAACATATACGATATCTCACGAGTTGTATAAGTTCCAATCCGGTGGATGAACACACGTTGGTTTCGGTGTTCATGCAGGGTCTTGCGGATGGTCCCGTCAAGACTCACCTGTTCCGGCTTGAACTAGATTCACTAGAACAAGCCATTTCCATTGCGGAGCAGGAAGACTTCAGTCTGAGACAGGCTCGCGACAGCTCGACATCATATCGTCAACCGAGACGATATGACAACGGAGGTCCAGAACCGATGGAACTCTGCTATGTAGAGAGCGAGAAGGCTCGCTCTACAGGCTACAAGAAGTTGCAGAGATGCAACAGATGTCAAAAGACAGGACACTACGCTTATGAGTGTAGTGCCCCTCGTCCAGTGTCTCGCGACACTAAGCGTAGTGACCGTCCACCCATGAGAAAAGGGCAGGGACGAGGGTCCGCTGTTGGTGCAAAGACGCAACAACGGGATGGACCATAAAAAAACGGACAGGATCAGTAGGTGCGGAGCACCCTACTGGTCCAGCAACGTCAAGAGAATTTGTAGGCCTCTTGATGAAGGTTGCTCCCAACACACAAACGTTGTGCGTTGCTGCTCTAGGTAATGAGATCTCACTCATTACCTTGAAACTCGAAGTGACGAATAAGTTGTCCCTTCGAGCTCTCGTCGATTGTGGGGCGTCCAACAATTTTGTGCGACGCCAATCGCTAGAAGATGGTCACTTTAAGTTCAGTGAATGTGACACACCTCCTACGAGGATGACGGTACGTCTTGCGACAGGCGCATCCGTAACCGTCATGAAGCGTATAGTGAAGATCCACTATACGCTAGAAGATACCCAATATGACGATGACTTTATCGTATTGGATTTGGATGACAAATTTGATGTCATCCTTAGAATACCGTGGCTCAGAAGGTACGAACCACGGGTAAACTGGCAACATCGAACAGTAACGATGCCTGCCGCTTGTTCATCAGATGACCATCTGATGAACGTTTTGGAGCGTCCACAAGCGTGTGGATGTACTACGAGTGAGTGCGATGGCCTCACTTGTGGTACGGTCGTTAGTGCGACTGCACAAACCCTTAGTGTAACAAACGGTTACACTTCGGAGCAAAGTTCCGGCGGCTGTGAGGAAACACAGGCTGCGCCGAAGGTCCACCACTCGAATAAGTCGAGTGGACTGGGACAAAGATGTATCCCTAGCGGGGAACATCTGGAAGAGAAACAATCGATCGCTCAGGTTAAGCGAAACGATAATCCTAGATCGACTGGAGAGTCTTTCGTAGAGGATCTCGCTGTGGTTGCGCAACCCCAGCTAGAGGAAGTAAAGGGAATAAGTCCCAAGATTACAAATACGGTGGAAATAAGTTCCCCGAAACCCGCGGGAATAAGTCCCCGGGAAGCCCAAGGAATAAGTCCTTCGAAGCCTGAGGGAATAAGTCCCCAGGAAATGACAGAGACATTAAATGTCCTAGTCAATGACGGATCGAGTGTAGGCGCTCATACACTTGATCTGATTGCGCCTCCGAAGTTGACTTCGGAGATCACTCAGTTGCCAACGCTCGAACATAAAAGGTTCTTGCGTGATCTGCGTAGTGGCAAAGTCAAGCAGATCTGCGTACTCGTCGCTAACGACGAGTGTGTAACCGACATAAGGTCAGCAACAGTGTTTACTGAGAACGAGAGAGTTCTCAGTAGCTCATCTATGGACGAGAGTGTCCTAGATGAAAAGACACGAATTGAGCGATATGACTCCCAATCGTGGGAATCGCTCAAGACAAATCCTCTCTATGAAGATTTGGTTGATTCAAGGATGCATTCCCTGAAACTGTTCCGTGCGAATTACCGAAGGATAAAGGTATTCGACACGAGGTCGAGCTTAAACCAGGCTCGAAGTACTGTGTCATGAAGCAGTGGCCACTGCCTCGTGAACAAGTACTTGCGATCGACAAGTTCTTTGCCGATCGTTTAGCTGCGGGCCATGTGAGGGAATCAACTTCCCCACATAGCTCTCCGACCTTCTGTGTGCGAAAAGCAACAGGAGGGTGGCGGAATAGTGCACGCGTTCAACAAGTTGAATGCTGCAACGGTACCGGCTCAGACGCCGATACCGAGGAAGGACGTCATCATTTATGGTATGTCAAAGAGTACCATCTTTTCGTCCATGGATTTGATGGATGGCTTCTATCAAATCCTTATGCGAGAACGGGATATACCCTATACCGCAGTGAGCACGCCTAGCGGCATGCTCTGGGAATGGCTAGTAATGCCACAAGGGCTTATTAATGCCCCTGCCACGTTCAACAGATGTGTATCACATCTATTGAGACCAGCACGAGAATTCGCGCCGAGTTATTTCGATGATGTATTCATCCGTAGTCGAGCTATGGATGGAAAGTCGGACGTTGAGGTTCACAGGTACCACGTCCGACAGGTTCTTACAATCATGCGAAAGCATCAATTGTATGCAAACCTCAAGAAGTGTATATTTGCAGCAAGCGAAATACCACTTCTTGGGTGCATCGTTGGTAAGAACGGTGTACGTCCTGATCCCGAAAAGATCAAGGCGATCACCGACTGGCCTGTGCCAGTTGATGTCAAAGGTCTTCGAAAATTCCTTGGGCTAGCGGCGTATTTGCATAAGTATTCACGCAATTACGCCGAGATGACTGTGCACCTCTCCCGTTTGTTGAAAAAGAACGAGAGGTGGTTATGGAACGCTGAATGTCAGCGCTCCTTTGATGGTATAAAGCAGAGCTTGATACAATCCCCAGTCCTAGCAATAGCCGATCAGGACAGGCCATTTCATGTGGTCTGTGATGCCAGCGATTTCGCAATCGGCTGTGCATTAATGCAGTACGATCTTGAAGGCGTTGAACGCGTCGTCTGCTATCAGTCGCGTCAGCTGCAACCAGCTGAGCGGAACTATCCAGTGCATGACAAGGAACTTCTTGCCATGAAGTATGCACTCGCGAAGTTCATAGTCTATCTATTAGGAGATAGACCCTTCATTGTTTACACTGACCGTGCGTCATTACGCACGGCAGTGAACAGCCCGCACCTTTCACAACGAATGGCGCTGTGGTTGTCATTCTTTGCGGAATACAACTTTACGGTCGAGTACAAACCAGGACTACTTAATGTCGTCGCTGATGCACTCTCACGTCGTCTCGACTTTGAAACAGTCGCGAAACCCAACAGTGAGACAGTCACTGTTGCGGTTATGACGTCCTCAGTCCCATCTACAACGTTGTATGATGATGTGAGGCGGGCATACGCCCAAGATGGTGAGATTGTGAAGTTGTTGACACATCTCTCCCAACCATCTCGAGAATCGTTGAAACGATTGTCGTCTGCGTATCGATCTGCATCAGATCGATACACTGCTCGCAACGGTTTACTGTATTATACAGCCGTTTCTGGTGACACACCACGTGTTGTCATTCCAGATGATACTGATCTGCGTTTGCAGATCATGTTCGAGTATCACGATGCTCCTATAGGAGGACATTGTGGCCGGGATAAAACAAATCTCACGGTGAGTCGAGACTTGTACTGGCCCCGCCAGTATCAGTTTGTGCGAAAGTATGTTCGCGCATGCGAAGTCTGCCCAACGAGTGAAGTCAAGTCCTTCACTGCGTGCACCTTTACAGCCTCTACCGGTTCCGGCTGAGTGCTGGGAATCCATCTCAATGGATTTCGTCTTCGGGTTACCCAAAGGCGCACGCGGGAATACGGGTATTCTCGTATTTGTTGACAGATTCAGCAAAATGGTACACCTTGTGGCTGTACCAGAGGCAATCACGGCAAGTGGCTGTGCTTGTGTCTTTATTGACACCATCTTCCGACTTCATGGGTTGCCCCGTGAACTCGTATCGGACAGAGATCCACGATTTACTGCTGATTTCTGGCGTTCCGTGTTCAAATCACTCGGAACGCGCTTGAAGATGTCTACATCTGATCATCCAGAGTTAGATGTTCAGACGGAACGTGCCAATCGTGTCCTTGAAGAGATACTTCGAGGATACGTACACTCCTTTAAGAGTTGGAGTGAGTTTTTGCCAATGGTAGAGTTTGCCATTAACAACTCGGTGCATGCGTCCACGACACATACACCGTTTTACGTGAATGGCTTGTGCCATCCGCGTGTACCCACCTTACTAGAGTGTAACTCTGGTTTAAGGGGGGGAGGGACTCGCGCGAGCAAAAGCCGAATTGGTTCACGCTCATCACGCTCTGACGAAGAGGTCACTGCGTTTGATGCCGATATCGATAACATCGATATCGAAGAAGATGATGCCAGTGAGAGTGCGGAAGCCCTCACTGAAGAAAAGGTTGATGTTGCTGCAGTGCGCTCACAGCGCACTGAAGCTAACGAGTCAGCAGATGAGTTCATACTGGCTCGTGAAACGGTAGTCCGTTTTGTGCAAGACTCCATCGCCGAAGCGGTGGATAAGCAAAAGCAAAACGCTGACAAGAATGGAAGGGCAAACACTCTTTTATTTAATAAAGGTGACTTAGTCCTACTGTCTACGGTTAATCTACCAAAGCATGTAGTGACTAACGTGCGTTGTAGTAAACTACTACCCAAGTACATCGGCCCATTTCGTGTATTGCACCGCCTAGGCAATGCATACACGATCGAGTTACCACGTAAGATGCGAACGCATCCCACGTTTTACGTTGGTCGGCTTAAGCCGTACCATCAGTACGCTGCTTCTTCCGATGAAGAACGCCCTTGCGCTCAAGCATCTCGCAGAGAGCCTTGTGCTCCCGATGGTGGGCATCAAGAAGGGTCTGAAGAGCATTTGTCTCATCCCGAGACCGATCAACAATCCCACTAGCTACCCTTAGCTCGTCACGAAGAGATGTCAGAGATCTCTCGTTCCCAAGCTGAGCAAAGGCAAACTCAGCTCGATGCTTCGAGACAGTGTCCGCCATTTGGAGACGCCTGTCCCGCTCATGCTCGAGATCGTTGCGTAACCCTTGCGTTACGCGATCAAAGAAGCTCTCGGGAACACACCGATCCCCATGATCGTGTGGAGAGCGTCTTTCCTCCTCCTCCACCTCCATTGGAGGACTCTCGCGGTGGCCAGCGCTATCTAGTTGAGCAGCTGTTAAACCACCGCGACGTGAACGGACGTCGGACGAGTTATCTCGTCCGGTGGCGCGGCTATCCCCCGTCCTGGGATACTTCGGAGCCCCGCTCCCAACTGATGATCGACGTACTGGGTCTGGTTGAGCAGTACGACGCGGCACATCCTGTGCCGCAGAAGGACCGCCGAAGAAAGTCTTCCCGGCACGGTCGTAAAGGGATTTCAAGTTGTCAATCCCTTCGTACATCTCAGTAGAGATACGTACGCGCCACCACGGGCTATTAGGGAGGTAAGCCTCCTTAGGTGCTCGTGCAGAGTTGTTCACACAACATGGGCACGAGTCTCCCCATGAGAGGCAGGGTAATCCCTTCTCCCTTGACAGACGATGCAGCTTGTAGCGTGCACCTGTCGGGGTTCGCTTTTCAAACTTATCACGAGCTTTGATAAGTTTGTCGTTCCAAGCGTCACGACCTACATCCTCAAGGTTATGGATGTAGGCGTTCCACGCCTGAAGCAGTGAGAGACCATCACGCTTGTGATTCCCACTGTACCATCGATGTCTAAAGAAAGCATCGATGAAGAATTCATGTTCAGCGCGATAGTTTTTCGTGCTGGGGTCAAGGTGATGGATCCTTGACGAATCGAACAATCGTGTTCGATAACGATCACTCGTCGTCGCCGATAAGTGATCCATGACGGATTTTGGAGGCATCTATGCCTTCTTCTCGGGAGCGAGACGCAACACACTGCGGTCCCACTCTTCTTGCTACGTGCCAACAGAAGTTCTGGCACCTCGTTGCGAAGTGGTGTCAATAGGAGAACCGACACCACTATTAGCGCCCGAGTCTCGCGACCTCGAGCGCCTTCGCTTCGGCGATGGTTCATCTGATTCATCAGATGAACCAAAGATGCTACGACGCATAGCATCATCCATGCCACGCTTGGCAGGCGGCTTGGATTCGATTACCGTCGATACGGATCCGTCTTCCGTATCAGGAGAGTATGAGACACCGAGCTCGTGCTCTGTGAAGACATGAGTGTCTTCATGACCAGCGCCTGCATCACCAAGTGACACAGGCTGGGTCGCTTCAGCAACCGATGAGACATCAGTTGATGTGGTTTCTGCTTCGGCGTCCGCACAGAGACGTGCGGACGCGCTCTCGGCGGCCTTGCTCGCGCATCGCATGGTCTTGTTAACCATGCGATGAAATGTTGGGAAGTGGACTCGGACCAACAAGTGCAAACCCCGTCCCAAATGATTTGGGACGAGTATCCATTTAGTCAATCAGTCACAAAAGTGACTGATGGTTAAGGGGGGGGGGTGATGTAACGGGGTGAATCGTTACATAACAATTTGTAAGAAATTGTTAATAGAATATAACTATAAGAGTGATATTCTCAGAATATTGTCATAAGGACAAATGTTCTGTAGCACTTACGAGTAGTTCCTAATTGGTTGATATAGGCCATTATATCAACCAACGAAGACGCGCCACGACAGACGCACGCAATGAGTGGTGAGCAGATAGTTGATATGCACATTTGTATTCAGACATAGTTAGATGAAGATAAATAGTGATTTCTTGCAGACATTAACTATACTGAATACAGTTCTACTTTTTACTTTAACCAAGTACTCGCTTCTTCTTACCGTCTTCCTCTGCACGTACGAGTGTACGTGAAGTTACGCGGCACCGCCTTATTCTGTCATCAGAATAAGTAGCTTGTACTGTCACCAGTACAAGCTTCAGGGTGCCCCGTTACATCAGCCGTAGCCTGTTTTCCTGGCTTTGTCGAGATCTTAGCTCAGGTCTGGAGCGGAACTCGAAAGGTAAGACCAGTGCGGCTGGAAGCGGAACTTGAAAGGGTAAGACCAGTGCGGGGGTACAAACCGATATGGTTTTTTCAATCTATATTACATTTGACTGCATGAGGTTTGGCAAGTCTTTACCTGATTCTGAGCGCATCACAATTGCACTGTGTCGATGGGCGTGCGGATGCAGTCCATGTGTCGCTGCGTGCTTATTTGAAGTGGTAAGAGATTTATGCCGCGCGGTCCTTCAGATCACTCTGGGGTGAACTGCGAGTACTGTGACTCAGTTTGAACTCCTTACAGGACCCGCACCCCTCATTACACTATGGGGATTTTCGGCCAGTAGGGCCTCCATCACACCCTACCATCACACGCCTTGCGCGGGTCGGCAGGGCGGCCACTTCTGCGTGGTTGCTCGTCTAATATATCGGCCTATCTCCGGCGCCCTGCAATCGAGCCCCCACCGGGTATCGGTCCAGGTGCCTCCCGGTCCCAGTTCCAGCGGTCTACCACTCGGCCACTGGGGTCGGTTATTGGGCGTGGTGAGAGCAACCGTGCACATTTGTCGTAACGCTTTTGTTAAGTTATGATAAAGTGTTTGTGAAAAAAGCTGTACGCTTTCCCAGTGCTCATATAACTGGCTGGGAAAAAGGTGCTGACGGGTTTTAAGATCGCCGAGGAATTGGACTTTGGAAGGTGATATAGGTGGCACTCGCTTTGCCATTCGAAAACCGACTGGATTCGTACTACACAGTGCGTACATTTATCACAAAGGTTCTGCTTCTACCGCACGTCAAGCGGCCGTCGACGCGGATGGAAATTTTTAGAGCGTGAGCGAATAGTTAGTCACAAGCAATTTCTAGTATAACTAACTGATCGAGTTATGTCAAGATCTACTTCGGATGACCTGGGAGCGTACATGACAGTCGCTTGCCACGTAACTCTTCACCCTTCCGAAGGGCAAATGAAGGATCACTGATGCCCGCTGGATGCATCCTGATTGGCGACTCTGGATACGGATTGTCAGATTGGATGATGGCTCTTTGTACTGCTTCTTCGATTTCTAGGCCGATCGATAAAATACTTAACTTTGTCTTTTCGGCAACACGCATTGTCATTGAGCAGGCTTATGAATAGCTGACACGCGATGACGCGTATTGATCGGCGAGCATTTAGATCGTCTCGCTATCGTCGCAAAATATGTTTTTTGAATGCTTGGTTCTACAAACAGCTGCGAAAGATAGAACTGACAGTGCGTTCCGCACCTCGTGGTCCATACCATTTGTCATCGTAAGTTACACAAAATCTGTCTACATTAGAAGTGAAATCATGGCTGCTCGCCACATGACAAAATTGCAAGAGATGTACTAATACTACATTATAAGCATCCAACAAATTCTGAATCTTTTAATTTTGGTTGATAAGCTTCTCTTTCATTATAAAAGTTATTAAATATCAGATCAACCCACCTTTCGTGCAAACATAGCTGCGGCACGCAACTAGAATTCCGTAAGCTTTCGGTGTCAACGATCTGCAGCGGCTTCGTCTCGAGCTCTACGGCGTTCGGGTTCAGCTTCATCTCTAGCGACGTACTCGGCGCGCTCATTGCGTCGCATCTTTTTTTTGCGAATATCGAGGTTCTGGTGCTCTTGCTCGATCTGAAGAATGACATGTCCTACGTCTATTAGCTCTTGACCTTGCGTGTGCGTCGTCGTTTTGATGATGGTGGCGCATTGCTGCGCGCCGGCTCTAACTCGTCGTTTTCTTCCACTCCGACGTAGTACGAAGCATCTTGAAGAAGAGGTATCCCCGACGAATCCACCGTGTCAACCGCATCAGCATTTGTGTCCACCAGCATGTCCAGTTCTTGATCTCTTGGCTTGGTCTTTATCACACCGTCGTCGAGAAGTTGATCCGGTTCCACATAGTCATTGCCTGCTTATGAAATTGCCATCGCATTCCACCATAAGTACTCGAGACGATATACCTCCAGAACACATCAACTTGTCTCTTCTAGCTTGCGTCTTCCTTCGTGGTAGGTGGCAAGCAAGCTCTTATACTTTTCTTGGCTTGTTCAAAGACCACAAACCCAAGCCACGAAGTCCCATTCCGCGCGTTATAGTACGCTCACATTTTTGCTAACATCAATGAACGTTGGGCCTATGTACATTCGGAGCATGTGTTTACATCCGCATATTACGCAATTATATAAAACGTACTTCTTGACGCTTGCTTTGCTTTTATTTCTAAAAGAGCTGTCTGATGGCATCCAAAAAAGTATGACTACGTCAGTTTTTTTCTGTAAAATATTTCCATGCATTTAAAAATCGAAAAATGGAAGACACACAGCGAGACACACAGGCCAAAACAAAAAAAGATTCACAAAGTACCACAGGCAAGTACTTACCAAAGCTTTCGGGTCCTCATGAAGGCAAATTACCTTCTTAATTTTATTTTACCTTGTGCCGGCGCGTATCCTGCATTATCACCCGAACTAGGCGCATCCTGGATGCTCGGGATCGACAGAAGGGAAAGATCTGGTGGTAGAGTCACTGACGCCGAGCCCGAGCACAAAGTGGCGGTGACCGCCATCGTCCTAAGCTTATTTTTGTGGTGGTTTAGGGCGGGAATTATGATCGCCAGAACAAAATGGGAGCTAATGTGTAATCGTTAAGGATCTAAATTTGCTTTACAAACAGCAACTTTAATTTAACCACTTTTTTAACACCTTTGCAAACAGTAATCCAAGCAGTACTTAAAGAGCCGCCCAATTAGCTATGTAAACGCGCTCGAACAAAAGAACACTATCCACATGCCGTAATTAAGTACAGTAGTCCCCCCTCTGCTACTTTTTTGGCTCGTGAAGACACTTTCCTATATGTTTTCCGATACTATCAGTTATTGGATTATGGTGGAGTCATCAATATACTACAATGAAGTCCATAATTAGAAAACAAAAATAAGAAAACCTTTACCGAAACCACCCACTCCGCAACCACCCAGAGACCAAACCCTCAGACTAGTATAAAAAGAGCCTCGGAGCATCACCAACACAGGATATAGCCTTACGTTTTTAAATCTGATTTAGTCTGTGTCTCAAGATCAGAGACATTTAGCCATCCAATTCGTTTGCTGAATTTATTGTATTAGTGGAAATGAGATCACTTTTTATGTTTAACTCCATTAATGAGCTTTTCAAGCATGTAGAAGAAAAGGAGAGAGAACAAACAGAGATCAATAATAAACAATCTTTGGACGAAGAGCAGAAAGAGGGGAGTGAAATGAAGGTCATGCAATAGAGGAAAAGGCATTTCAGATAGATTCATCGAATCCCTATATTACCACGATCATTGGTAGTGACCAAAAAATTGCTTAAATTGTCCAGGAAACCCATTGTTATACATGCAAGCCTCTTCGAAGTCTTCGGGCTGATATTCGTGGTATTGCAGCACACAATCCACCTCGATGATTGGCTTGAATATGTGTTCTACCTCGCATTGTTGCAGATTCTTCCTCAATCCACTTTTATCTGGATCGTGGCTACTTCTTACATCTTTAGCGACCATAGAACAAATACGGTGGACGTCGAAAAATAACAGCGGATGCTTTAAGTTATCGGTTAAATGTTTTCAAAGGGAGAACTGTACAATGTAATAAAGATAATGTATATGTATGCAAAGTAGCTTAACGTGTCGGCATCCAGCACGAATCTTTGACATGTAACATCCATGTAACTATCTATTTTGACTTCTAGCACTGCGATACAAAGATTTCGGGGTGGAAGATGCTGAGAGAGCCTCGTCACTTGCAAAAGCAATGTTGTTGTGTGTAACACTAACATCGCTATCGATGCATATCCACTTAGATATTCATAATCATTCATGATTCTGTGTACCCTCCAACCTAAAAAAATTGATGCGCTTTTTTGCCGCATCGAGCCTACCTCTACTTTTCCTTCGAAATAATTCCAGCGCAAGCCCATTCGACAACAGGAACCGTATCGGGGACCAGTGCGTTTGCTGGTACCAATAATTTTGTGAATGCAAATTAAGCGAGAAGACGCAAATGGTAATTTTAACGCTTTTGGTATAGATGTAAAAATATGCCATTCTCAGCACAAAGAGGTTTGTTACGGAGGGTATATTAACATTCATGCTCTTTGTGTTTGCCAATCTCAATTGACTGCAAAATCTAATTAGTACATGCAATACAAAACGCAGACATCCCAGGCTTTGTCAATGAGCTAGTTTTCTTTTCGGTCAACAGGCTAATCCATTTGAATTAAAGGAAGGTGACTGGCAATACTTGACATGTTACCAGCACCACTATAGTACTTGCAACGCCCTAGCTTACATGGTTGGCGCCCAGAAGTAGCACTATAGCGTTGCAAGAACTGAAAGCGTAATCGTCTAGCCTGACAAGGCAGTCACATGGCCTGACTAAGCGATGTGAAAGAAGAAAACTAGCTTGCAGAAGAAGATTATATTTTCGAGAAGCCTTTTTATTCCCTTATTATGTTATAAAACATGGAACTGTCTATCCCCGTTCAGTTTTCATAAATAAAGTAATCTCGATATCCCTGCGTTTCACTTTTTGACATACTCTTTCTAATCTGTTCATAAATAATAAACTACTACCGTACGATAACAAAGCTGTCGCGCCTTCACAAGATACTCCTTACATCACACTGGGGGGAAGGCAATAAACGCGCACTCACTCGAAAAAGGCTACTCAATACGCATGAAATTTGGAAAACAGAAAAGCGGAGACGTAATGAGGCAGACGTTATGTGCTAATATCTTTCTTTAGCAGTTAGCCAGCCAAATTAATCGGTAAGCTCTCGAAAAGTGTTTCAATAAAAAATGGAGGTGAATAGTGTTACAAGCAGTAGGTAGGCTTGAAACAGCCATCCTTTACAAAAAGCGCAATTGCTCATAAGTCAAGCTTTTTACGCCATAAATGGCCGAAACTCGAATAAATAAGCTAAAGGGGAAGGCTTCGAATGCACAAGCTGGAGCCGCGATGATAAATCTAACGAGTTCTTCATGCGCTTGTAATCCGTCTGTAGAGAAGGGCTCCATGACGTGTTTGTATCTAAAATCTAAATCGAGCAAGCTAAGTGAAAGGTCACTGTCTACTCTGTGCACCGAATAAAGCTTTTCGGCTCAATAGGATCATCCTAAGTGTAACGGGGTGAATCGTTACATAACAATTTGTAAGAAATTGTTAATAGAATATAACTATAAGAGTTATATTCTCAGAATATTGTCATAAGGACAAATATTCTGTAGCACTTACGAGTAGTTCCTAATTGGTTGATATAGGCCATTATATCAACCAACGAAGACGCGCCACGACAGACGCACGCAATGAGTGGTGAGCAGATAACTGATATGCACATTTGTATTCAGACATAGTTAGATGAAGATAAATAGTGATTTCTTGCAGACATTAACTATTATAAATACAGTTCTACTTTTTACTTTAACCAAGTACTCGCTTCTTCTTACCGTCTTCCTCTGCACGTACCAGTGTACGTGAAGTTCCGAGGCACCGCCTTATTCTGTCATCAGAATAAGTAGCTTGTACTGTCATCAGTACAAGCTTCAGGGCGCCCCGTTACACCTGGTAGCACTTCGTAGTCCGTTAAAGGACCGCGTTCACATCTAACATGAATATGTTGGATGATGAAGATGACCAAAGCTTTCACGCTACGCGTGACGGCTACTCCCATTTGAGCGATGTCGAATGGGATGCGGTTGAACGAATGGGTTCGACCATGGGCATCCATGCTGTTAGCGTCATGCTAGAGGCTCTCAATAGAGATGCCCAATATGCTACTATCGCCAAGTTCATTCAAAATGAACTTGACGCAGAACGCGAGAAAGTAGCCTTGCTTCACCAACAAGGTTCTCAACAAGCAGAGTTGTTGAGAGAACAGGGTGCTCAACAGTTTGAACTGTTGAGACAGCAGCAGGCTGATGCTGGTGGGTCGATGCACTCGCGTCGACCCGAGACCTTGAAGATTGACATCTCCAAGTATAGGGGAGTCGAAGAGGACTCCCTCTTGAGATGGTTCGTCGAATTGGATGACGCCATAAGGGCGCGTCGCATCGACGACGGGGATATGCAAGTTGCATTTGCCCAGTCAAATCTGGCAGGACGTGCCAAGACTTGGGCACTGGGGCTCAAGTTGCACGACCCATATGCGTTTGGGTCGTTGGAAGTCTTCAAGTCGCGGCTCAGACAAACGTTTGAACCGCCTGGAGCTGAGTTCAGAGCTCGAACCGAACTCTTGAAGCTCAAGCAGGGTAAGCGTGATGTGCACGCTTACGCCCAACATATACGATATCTCACGAGTTGTATAAGTTCCAATCCAGTGGATGAACACACGTTGGTTTCGGTGTTCATGCAGGGTCTTGCGGATGGTCCCGTCAAGACTCACCTGTTCCGGCTTGAACTAGATTCACTAGAACAAGCCATTTCCATTGCGGAACAGGAAGACTTCAGTCTGAGACAGGCTCGCGCCAGCTCGACATCATATCGTCAACCGAGACGATATGACAATGGAGTTCCAGAGCCGATGGAACTCTGCTATGTAGAGAGCGAGAAGGCTCGTTTTACAGGCTACAAGAAGTTGCAGAGATGCAACAGATGTCAAAAGACAGGACACTACGCTTACGAGTGTAGTGTCCCTCGTCCAGTGTCTCGCGACACTAAGCGTAGTGACCGTCCACCCATGAGAAAGGGGCAGGGACGAGGGTCCGCTGTTGGTTCAAAGACGCAACAACGGGATGGACCATAAAAAAACGGACAGGATCAGTAGGTGCGGAGCACCCCTACTGGTCCAGCAACGTC